TTTTTTTGTACAGGGACCTTCCGGTTTCCGGATCCACATGGGAACCGACTAATCCGGAATCGAGCCGGGTAGGACCACAAGGGCGGCAAAGCTCTCCCTCAAAAGTTTTAACACTGCTGCATTCTCAGGGCTCGAACACGAGACCACTGGTTAAGCTGGAAGAGACCCAAGCCATCTCATTCAAGCGCTCTTGGGTATCAATTATCAATGTTAACTTGGAGAATGATTTGTTTCCACTAATAATAGAATGTGATCATTTCTTTTGTTTTAATAATATGAAATCTTAAATACTGAGTCAAGTGAAATGTAGGCCTTTTGCCGCCAAAGAAGCCAAATAATCCGCCACAAAGTTGGTTTCCCTATATCTGTGAGTAACCTCCACCGCCCAATGACGATCCAAGAGTTCCTTTATTCCTCCGCAATATACTGCCACTCGGCCTGCAATCAGGGACGGATCTTAATTGGGCTTGGGCTGGGCTGAAGTCCAGGCCTATTAATTTTTATTTAACACCTATCAGTTTTAATTTGTATTTTTATATTTTTTTCTAGCCCAACCCAATAATTACTTCATTGATCAATCAAAATAATTCACTTATCTATTTAAGTTTAAAGACTACAAACACCACTCTAATAAAATATTATATATTGTTGACGCATCATTCCCACTAGTTACAACCCACAAAACTCTACTATACACCAAACTCTAATAAAATAAATTGGCGGCGGCCATGCTCATTCTCTAAACACCAGAACAATGAATTTAGAAGAACATAAAATAAATAAATAAACTATTCAACAAGAAATAGACTACTTTCAAAAGATTATTTATTTTCTTATTTAATAGTAAGTTATATTTTTTTAAATCCCATATTAGATATTCTTTTTATTTGTCAAATTGTCTTTTTTTTTTATCTTTTCATTTTAGCTGAATTATTAAGGTTTTAGTAGTAATTGCTAAGATCATTTGGTTGAAATTCTTGTTTTGTTGATTGTGTATGAAGTAGTAATTGTGCATCTATGTAATTTTTTTTAAATCTCTTATCCTCTAGTGTAGTTGTATATCATATTTAGATTTAATTTTGTGATGCGTAATCATTTCATTTTGCTAATAAATGCCCTATGGAAAATCAATTTATTGGTATTATAGAATTTTTAAAAATTCACATATAGCACCAACCTTCAACCAATAAAGAAAAAATCAACTAAGATCAAACTAGTGAAAGCACATCAAATATGATACAATGTGAGCATAACAAATTTATTTTGTTAAAGCTTGTCGAATACAACTTCAATGAATATTTGAAGAAAAAATAATACGTGATTTTTTTGAAAATGCGTTTTTAAAATTATAGCCCAGTCTACCCTTACGTTCTGGATCCGTCCATGCCTGCAATGCTCTTTGTGGTAAACCATATCAATAATGCTCTTATTGTCAACCTCAACTTTAATATTTCGAGCTCCGATATCCCAGGCTAGAAGTAGGCTCTAAAGCAAAGCCCCAAAGTTCTAATCCAACGACCGAGCAAAAACTGATGTTCATCAAAAAGCCGAACACCTAACTCCCATGATGATCTGGCACGACACCGCCAGCACCAGCCATCTATGTCGACGGATCAAAGCTCCCGTCCTTATTGACCTTCAACTCATCCATCGTCGGGCCTGACTACGAAATCCAATGCAGCTCCCGTGCACCACTCATCCCCACTTTCTGGCTACCATCCAAGGCGCATCTCGCCATGTCCATATAAGAGAACCCCTCGCCCATACGTTGTGACAAGGTAATTTGTAAGGAATGGTGGAAAATCCTTACTCACCCCAATAATGAATGAAAAACGTGTTATATATTATAGACTTATAGTGGATCAACTTGTCATTTTCTGCACAAAACCACATGCATGTCTTATGTAATATCACTTTTTTTTTTTCTTTTTTTTTTTTAATGGTCAGTGTTCTACATCACTTATCAAATATATGCCATTTTTATTGCAAGTGTTTATTTTTGCACAATTAAATATCAGTGTTCATTTCATGGAATATAACAATAAAAAAATAGAATAAAATTTAAGAAAAAAAAAACTTTACTATTATACTTATTCAAAATAATTGAAGAGATACTCAAGAGCGCTTGAATGAGATGACTTGGGTCTCTTCCAGCTTAACCAGTGGTCTCGTGTTCGAGCTCTGAGAATGCAGCAGTGTTAAAACTCTTGAGGGAGAGCTTTGCCACCCTGTGGTCCTACCTGACTCGATTCCGGATTAGTCGGTTCCCCTGTGGATCCGGAAACCGGAAAGTCCCTGTACCAAAAAAAAATAATAATTGAAGAGATTCCGAACATGTCAGGAAAATATTTGATGCGGCCCATTCAGATCAGATGTATGATGTATCAGATTAATGGACAAGTATAATAATTTTTATATTTGAAAAATGGACCCATTTAAATTTCATATTAATTTTTATATTTGAATCTGATTCCTTAAAGGAGTTGGTGACCAAACATGAAAATAAATAGGGATATTTAATCTTAAAATAATAATAATAATAATAACAATAATAATAGTTGGTACACATTTTTCTAAATCGGGTTTAATTATTCATTTTGTTGTTAACTGTAGTGTATAAATGGGCCTGGCTTGCTCATCTTCCCTTTGTCTAAATCGAGTCCAATCTATTAGACCCAATAATCTAATGGGCCCATTAGAAGTCATTCAGTCAGGAGGACCAGAAACTGACCAACTCTTTTACCTATACAATTTATTTGCTTGCTCACTCGCATTTTGGATTTTTCAGGTTCGATAATCCACCAGCTTGCCGTCGTTCGCCGTTCTGAGGTAGGTTTCCGGCTAAGCTCTCTGTTCGCCGACGCGAGTACTACGTGAAACAAAACCATCTTTCTCGGTAAACTCTCGGCTCCACCTCTATCCCAAAAAACGATGTATTGTCCTTAATTTGTTTATTCGTCATTTTCGCTTCACATTTCACCATTTTTAGTTCACTGATGGTAAAGAGTACTGATTTTTCATGAGTATCTGTAGAGAAAACCTCCATATTCAGCTGATTGTTGATGGAATTGTGGGTTATTTTGAATGTGAATGGTGCTGATGGAAATGTTGAAGGGAAATGAATTTAGGGTTTTTGTTGCCATTGTGTTTCGTTATGAAATTCATATAT